GTGGGTCAGAAAGATAGCCAGCATCAGCGTAACCAACAACTAGTGATTCCGAACTTTTCGAATAAAACAGGCCCATATCGATTGTTCCACGAAGATAACGTAAGATATGTTTAACACCATTCCAATGTCGTCGTGTTGGTGCTGAGCTATATCTTGCCAACAAATTAACTGAAAAGGCAATATCAGGTCTTGTACAATTTGCAAGATACATTAGCGCCCCTATAGCACTTAAATAAGGTACTTCCGGACCTAAAAGTTCTTCATTATCTTCTCGAGGGCGAAAAGGGTCCTTCTTTACATCTAATGATCGAACAACCATGGGACTGCTCAATGGGTGTGCCTTATCCATGTAAAATCGTTTTAGGGCCTTTTCCGTATATGTTGATTGATGGATAAAAATCCCATTTGATACATGCTCGATCTGCAGGCCGAGACAAAACTTGGTTTTCCTAAGATCTTTCATTTCAAACTCTTTCATTAAATAGTTTGAAGTCTTTATTAACTCTTTTAGTGTTCCAACAAGGTTTAGGTCATTTACATATACTGCTATGATAGCAAATCCAACTTCAGATTTCTTGATGAAAACACATAGACAAATTGGATCATTTATGTAATCTTCTCTAACAAGGTATTCACTAAGACAGTTATACCACATTTTACCAGATTGAATCAGTATAATGATCTCTGTAACTTGATTGAGAATAACTCACTAACTTTCTGATTGTTTGTTTCAGAAATTTTGAACTGAGTACTTTATTCATCATATGTCGGGGTATTTATACATACACAGGGAGGAGGTAAAGTCTAGGTAAACAAGGTAATCAGATATTCTAAATAATAAGAGTAATATATCTACCATATTTAACACTCCCCCTCAGATATATCATCGTTCATTATACACTAACCACATTACGCTACAGGATAATGTTGGCTAGGTTTTTCAGGACCTATATTAACTGATACTGTAGGATCAGTTATGCTGCCTCGTGCTCGCTTAGTCGACTTCCAAGAAAAAGTCTTATCACCATATGTGAACACATTACCAATCTAATTTCACCCTTAAAATTTGGTATTACAGGAACAAGTACTTCTTCGCCTTCTTCTGGGAGGTGATTAGAATGTTATGAATATATATATGAATGAACAACCATGGGTATGTTCAAAGGATGAGCTTTATCCATATTTCAACGTGTTAACATCTTCTGGATGTAGTTTAACTTATGGACAAATGTGCCATCATATAGGTGTTTAAAATACAATCCAAAGTATAATTTATGTCATGTCAAGATCTTCCATCTCAAATTCTCTCTTCAAGAGTTCAACAGTTTTTTTTTTGTTTTCTCTATCTCTTCAAGAGATCTAATGATATTTATACGTCGACGTAAACTACTATAATAAAGAATATTGAGAGCGATCCTTGAATGACAACACATAAGTTAATTCAAATTTGTATCTTTTTTTTTCGAGATATTCACTGGGTCAATTGTACCACATATGACCAGATTACTTAAGATCATTCCACGATCTCTTCACACATATCTCGATGTATTATTTTTATTGCTTCTGGCATTTAGAATCCTTCAGGGATTATTTTCACATAGATGTCGATTTCAAGTGTCCCTTATAATTATGTTATAACGACATCTATATCATTTATTTGAAGTCCTTTTGAGATTGCGAAGCCAATAAAAATTCTATAAGGATATTGCATCCACTAGTGTAGAATACGTTTCTTCATAATCAACTCCTGAGATTAGGCAAAAACCCTTGCCTTGCGTTTCCTCATATCGCACAATCACATTCATTTTATTTCTGTGTATTACAGACACCCATTTTAAACCTATTGGTTTGACGTCTATGGGTGTTCAGACTTCAGGTCCGAAAATATTCCGTTTATTGAGTGACTTATATTCGACCTTTATGGTCTTTTTCCATTTGGCAAATAATTTATGTACTATCTACATGTACACTTCTTTGAGTTTTAGGCATGTAATCTCTTTTATTGATTACATCCATTGCCATAGCATATGCAAGAATATCATTAACATGTGTTTCATTTTGGTTCAATATTGTACAGTATCGTACATAATTAATAGAGATCTCATTTTCTTTCGGTACCAATGTTTCTTTAGGAAACTTATTCTTCTGGAATCATATTAGTCTCTTCTAGGACATTTACCTCTTCTAGGGTTTCATTTTCTTCTGGAATAGTATTAGTCTTCTTCTAGGACAGCTACCTCTTCTGGAGTTTCACTCATAATCATGTATGTGGTTTCACAAATAACATTTTTCCTATATATCTTCATTTTCGTGGGTTCTTATCTTTGAAACCAATTATTCTCCCACATAAATTGTTCACTAGTCACTTCTGGTACTACCTTAAATCGAGCGATGCATAAGATGCTGGTATGTGTAACTTTGTCACTCTACTCATATATGTGAATGCATCGAGTAATTCATTTGCTCTTCTTTGCAAATCAGACTTCAAAATTACATTGACCACTTCAAGAGTCGAAAATTTACAATGATGCATTTCATATAATTTTTTGTATTACCAGTCTTTCATTATTCTTGTCTCCCCCTAAGAGTGGGAATATTTCATCATAAAATTGACAACCAACTTACTTTGATGTTAATAAATCTCCTATCAAAAACTCTAAACATTTAACAATAGACGAGGAGTTATAGCCAATGTCAATACACAGTATTCTACATTATATAAAATGCATTGTGGGGGAGAGGACATATAAGGCACCCAATCAAACAATCAAATATTGTGAGAAGGGACAAACTTGTTTCTCTTCAGGAGATATCAAGTGTAAGAAACTCAAAAATTTGAAGATTTGACATTTTATTTATAGGGAAGGATTAATAAAAATAAACATGTGTATATAAAATACATGCGAAGGAGAACTTCAGGTTCTTATATGTTGGAACTACAGGCTCCTTATAATAAGACCATTTTTTAATGGTTGAGAAAATATCTAGAATTCACTTCTAACCAAAGTTTTTACAATTGAGACATAAAATTCATAATGAGCACTTTATTTGCAATATCGTAGTACAATCTTCTTTCTTGAACTTCAGGTTCACATCTTCTTTAATTGAAGAATATATATAATCTAGCATATGTCATGAAATTTATCTTCCATTCAACTCTTCAAAAACCTTCCCTCAGTGTCTACCTACCATTGCAGTACCTTGATAATTTCTTTTAATTTATGCCCACTAAGCATCTGCTCCAAATAATTACCACATAAATGAAGATTCAAAAACCAGTATAAAATGCTTTGTTCTCATAATCAAAAGTATAGCCACCAATTTAATGCATTTTGCATATTAACTAGAGCTACAAGCTCTTATGTGACTAATGGTGTTCAACATAACCTATAAATTATGTCCATAAGACAAATATTATAAACTTCGGGTTATGAGTTAATTATCAACAAATATGACAAATATAACGATGCATCATATATAACATTTAAATTGTGATCACGAATAGTTGATGGGCCCAATCAATTATCCTTGAACAAATTCTAAATATGTATGAAATGAATCTCAAGTTTCATTAGTAATAATCTCATAATAATCTTCTAATGAGAAAAAGACTCTAGGATCTTCTGGTCCTAATAATAACAGAACTACAGAAACTTCTAGTCCTTCAGATAATACTCACTTGGGTTTTTAATGATTTTTTTCTTCACATCACAAACTAAATTGTAATAATTTAATTGGTTATGTTTTAAAATAAAAATTGGTTCATTAAACTTCTGGTTTACGTGAAAACGAATCTCGATCAAGTGTCATGTAATATTCATTTCCGCTGGTATCTTAAACAATAATAGAGACACCTTAAACAATAAGGATTTGTCTACACCCAATAGAATATTCGTCAATGCAGGACAATAACTATCATCTCAAAATATTCAATATTTATGAGACTTTTATTACTTCTATTATGCAGCTCTTATTATTATGCAATGCTCTTCTGAAGCTATCTATCAGTTTTGTATAAAAATAAAATTATATCCACACTAACTTCTTTTATCACAAGAGAAAAGAAGCTCTTACATCTAAAAAAAAATAATATGTATAATCACTCCTTTGATTATAATATATTAACTACATCATTCTTCAGAAACATCGATGAGGAATCATATATAGATTAGAACAAAGGTCTTGAAATATCAAAATGTCTCTTTTAATGAGATTTTTTTATACTAAAAATCAGCCACTTTAGGTGGTAATTGAATATTATAAGACCTTAGGTAGTATCTCATATACCCATATATTGTGTTTTGATGAACATGTTGACTCTTTTTTATTATTGTGAAAATAAATAAGTTAATGTGTATTGATTGAATAATAGGGTTTTTTATTTAAAAATGGCTTAGGTACTTGAAGGGTCTCAATTATTATTATTATTTATTATGCATTATTATTATTATTATTATTATAGCGGAGGTTACAATTAGAGCAAAACTATGGACATAATGATAAATTAGAGCACATTACATAATCACAAATAATAAGTCTATAATATTAATATTACTATTATTATTATTATTTCTTTGTTGCATAGTAAATAATAATGTCACCTATTTTTTCATGTGGCATACTCAAATCTTCATGTTTGAATTTCACTGTTGATGCTTCGAGCATATGAAATCAGAATATGAACTTCAAGTTCACTAGCCCAAAAAAAACTAAAGAAATGAAATTTTTTTCGACATAATATGTACTCAAACTTTAGGTTGAGTTTTATCATATAACCTTCAATTTTAACACATAATGTAGGCTTCACATGCCAATTCTCTAATATATTTAGGATCGATCTTTAGATTCAATATATCTTCAAGTTCACTAAAAACTAAAATAAATAAGTAGTGTATATGTATATGTATATGTATATATCTATAACATGAATATTAATAAGGATAAAAGATGAAGGGGAGTAATTTCTATAAAATTAGAATTTTTTGTTATCGTGCTGATAACGTGTTAGAAATAAAGATAATATGAATATCGTTATGAACAAGTGATAGAGATATACCTTGATAGCACAAATCAAAGATCAAAGTGTAATGGAGAATCAAAGGAGAAGCAATGCAATTCAATGAGATCAATAGACTAAGGAGAAGGATGTCTCATTTCAACATATGGAGCCTCTATTTATAGGCTTACAAATGAGAAAAGAAAAGGTCTAACTTAGACATGGAGAACATCAAAAGACATTTGTACATAACATAATTAAGTTATTTATGTCGGTTTTGTTTCTGAATATCTTACTCTCTCCGTCCCGAAAAACATGGGAGTTTTGATTTTGAAGATAGATTTAAGGGGAATGTATTTTGGTATTGAATTTCCAAAAATGTCCTTTGATGTGATGGATAAAATTATGATTTGATGGATAGATTATTAGTAAAAAGGTATGATGTGATAGGTAGGGTATGAAAAAGTAAGGGGTAAAAATAACTTTTTAAAAGAAATGAAAAGTGTTTTTGGGACGGATGAAAAAAGAAAGGTGAAAGGTTTTCAGGGACGAAGGGAGTATTACATAAGGGAGTATATTTTTTTACTATAGAAAAAAAAAAAGAAAACATCATTAATAGGAATAAAACATCGAAAAATTACCAAAATAGATACTTCATGTTTTTATTTACAAATTAGAGTTTTTGGTAATGCGGCATTATACATGGATATTTCACAATACTTTTTGGTAATGTATATGGTCATGATTGGCACTGTAAATGCATTTTAATTTCGAGAATTAAAAATAGATCTCTAATTTTCGTAGCATATATTTTAAATATTATACTTCTATTTTAGTTTTTTTTTCCCATAAAAAATTTGATGTACGTTTTCTATAAATAAAGTTCAATGGGATTGTCCCTCCTACATTTGTAAAATTATTGCAACTCAAAAATCACTATTAATAATTTTCCTCCTTTATTTGCAAAAATTATTGTAACTCAAAAATCACTATTAATAATTTTATATGCTCACTCACATGAATGATAAATTTTGAAATGATATGAATAAAAGTACTTTGTGAACAAAACTACAAAAGTGTTTGTGACTGCAACAATATGATTAGTCCATATACAAATTATTTTCTCAAAGAATAAGGAGGGAGACATCATAGTATGTCATGATCATGATCATGATATCATATCCTATAATTAGGATGCCACTAAAGCCACATTATAAGCAAAAAGAAAACAAAACATGGAGCTTAAAGAAGGAACACAAAACCCAATTAAATGAAACAGCATGTTCACCTTTCATTAAAAGGAAGCTTTTCACTTCATTGTGTTTACCACTTTTGCTTCTTCCCTTCATTCACTTTCTTCCCCTATTTTCGTTACTTATTTGATAAAATAAAAAAGTCATGTCACTTCTTGTTTCGCAGAACTTTTGATGTGGTTTTTAAATATATAAATTTTATCTTTAAATTATAATATAATTCTCAAATAAATTGTATTAAAAATAACTTAATTCAAATATCGTAAATCGAAAATACATAGGCATGCAATTTGAGTGAAATAAAAATGTTTTGGGAGAACAAGATTACACACACAATTGTCTAAATTGATATCAACTCCGGCCCCCCATTTTCCACTAGCTACTTGACAAAAAAATGAAGAGAGATTTTATTTTTTTTTTGCTACAAAATTAGGTAGTGCAACTAATGTGGTGAATGTGGGCATTATGTACGGTTGTAAGCAGAAAAAGAAGCAAATAGTTTGGTGTGGACAATATGTTTTGTTTTGTCTTCTGCCATCACCACATAAGTCTAAACAATTTTTTTTGTGCCCTTTTTGTCCCTCACTTTATTTTCCCCATATATCCTCCATATATATATATATATATATATATATACTGAGTATTTCTCAACAATTCTCAATCAGTTCTATTCAACAACACTATTTCTCACTCAGCTTCTTCTACTCAAAGAAAATACAAAAAAAAAAATTATAATGTTGGGAAGAGAAGAAGAGAGGACAATGATGAACAAGTACTACACAAGAAGTTGGAGCTTGAGGACTACTGCTACGGCGGCGGCGGCGAACCGCCGGCGGTCGGAGATACTATTTTCTCATCCAATCAGACATTATCTGAAGCGGTTCCGGGGAAGTCTGGCGGAGGCTTTGCGGGTCGTGTCTCCGGGGAGATGCCGGAAGGTCGGGTCGTCCCCGGACGGCGGCGAGAAGGTGGGGGTGATGGGGAGAAGCTGCTCGTGCAAGTGGGCCGTGACGAGCGGCCCACGTGCAATGGGCGGGTTTGATCATCATAGGGCCGAAGCCATTGATGATTGTATCCGGTTCATCAACTCGTCCTTGTCATTGTCTAGATCGAACTCACTTTCTTCGTGATTATGTTCCATTATCACTCATTCATTATTAGCTTGCTTAGAACTACAGAGTGCACTTGGCAATGTATATGATCAACAATTGAATGATGATCAAATTCTTTTGTTTTTTTTAATATAAGAAAAGGTTCTTTGTGCCATTTTAATTTATAATTTTAGTTAAAGGTGTTGCTGATCGATAGGTTTGTTCATCAGACCAAGACTAGACTAAAATGTACTCCCTCACCCATTTCTATTAAAAAACCACTTTTACCCCTTACTTTTTTAAACCATACCTATCACATCATACCTTTTTTCTAATAATCTACACATCACATCATACTTTTACTCATCACATCAAGGATATTTTTGAAAAATCAACACAAAATTATCCCTCCCTTAATTTCTACTTTAGTCAAAACGTACCCATCTTTATGGGACAGAGGAAGTATTCGGTTTTGGACCGAACCAGGTTAAAATGCTTGGAACACTTTTAGGAGCCTGTAAGGTCCACGGTGGGCCTTAGGTGTAGCAACTCCCCCGTTGTCGACTTGGATAGATGTTAGGATCCGTTTGGTACACAAAATCCAAACTATGGAATTGAAATTGAGGGCTTCAATTCCAATTTTGGTGTTTGGTAGCCCAAATATTATGTGGTTTTGGAACTGATAGTGCAAAAAATGAATTGGAATTGGCAGAATTCAATTCTATGGAATTGAATCTTATGAAATTTAAATTCCAGTTCAATTCCAATCCCACCAATTCCGTATACCAAGCGGACCCTTAGACTGTAACACCCTAATCCGTCCAGGTCTGCAGCCCCATTCGGACTAAAGTATTGATTTGGTAATCGTGATAATTTAAAACATTTCAAACACACTTTATGAATCCCAATAATATTTTTCATAACATATACAGTACGGAGTATTTAACAATATTGCGGAAGCGAATTTAATATTGACATATCATAAATTATTTCAAAACTTGTCACATCCATCCTGACAATCTTGCCCCATCTGCCGCCAGGATCACATTAAACTTTCTGTTTACCTGCGTGTAGCAAATAAAACACACTACACGCTCAGCGGTGAAGCTGAGTAAGCATATCTAAAACGTTGAACATCCACATAAATTGAATCTCAATTCATAATCAACCATTTGATATCATGCACACAATATATGGTTCAAACATTCAAAATATTTTCAATATTTTATTCCAAGTCATTTGATATTCAATATATATCAATAATGCTCTTAAATTATTCTTAATCTAAGGCCACATCATTTTATATTCAGCTCTTAGCTATTCCTAGTCTAAGGCAGTAATTCTAACCAGGCCCTTAAACTATAAATAGTTTAATGCAGAACACAAGAATCGATAATCCACCCTATGAGTCATGTGGATTACGTACCAACCGAACA